TTATGTTTTTCAAATTTTATCGTATTTCTCTTTCTTTCATAAAATAAAGTTTATTTCCAAAAGTGGCGGTGGGGAAAGGGATGAGAGGTTGGACTTCAAAGCTGCACATCACTCGTGATTTGGTTTACTGAGTGATTGCCATCCCGAAATAAGCCCCTTTCCAAATATCAAATGATTACTATTCTTGGAGGCCGAAGTTAAATTGATTATTTCTCCAATAACTTAGATTTATCATCACGGGTTTATTACGAATCAACTTAACGGCCTGCTCCCAGTTGGCTTGTTAGCTCAATTGGTAGAGCGCTGCACTAGTATCGCAGAGGTCAGTGGTTCGAATCCCGTACAGGCCTGATCTATTTCAGGTCTGAATTTCGCTATTGCATAAATAGCGCTATCTACTGAGAAGGATCGTGCATCATACCTGAATATTTCTTTTTGGCCATCTCGGCCAAGCAACTTTCGCCATGCAATGAATGGATCAGCTCCACAACGGAAGTCGTTGATCAAGCTTGCGTTGAAACGCGCAGTCTTTGTTAATGACCCTCAGCTTGTCTTCTCTAAAAAATCAACTTTTTCCTCACAATTAGACGAGGCGTCTTTAAATGTTCTTTCATGTTCATCACATCCTTGCGCTAAAACTAACAAACTTCTAAATTTTTATCAGATTGCAGTCAACCTTGAAGCGGACGTTGCGGAAAATAGATTTTCTTCCAGAAACTCTCTACAAATAAATGAGTGAAATTGAATGGTCTCTTTGTTTCAAAATCAATAATCAAACTTCATATTTATCATAATTTTCTCCTATAGCAATGATTCTCCCCGTCCCCCCATGCCAGTCCCCTTAAATCAAACAAAGAAAAAAAGTGAACTTAGATACCTCTTCAAATTAAGAGGGACACGTCACCAGGCTATTGAAGGTCGCAGCCATACCAATTCCTCTAAGACTGGGACTGAGATCCTTCTTGGACTTTATGACAGAGCCCCGCCCCAGTCTCTGTCCTACGGCCATCTCTAGGCAAGTGAGCGGAATTCCTTCTATAATGAACATGATGAAGTACGGGATGAAAAATGCTCCTACAAAAGCGCACAAATTATTTCCCTCCTAATAAAACAAAATGCTCTTGTTGATCAGAGAGATAAAGGAAATAACAAGAACAGCAACAACAATTTTATGAAATTAACCGCAATAAAATTAATTCTCAGGAGCAGCCAACTTCGAAGGTAGTTGGCCCATCTGCGTTGACTGTCAATTTTCGTTGCAAGATGGAACAAGGAGTATTGTTATTCTCTCTGAGTAGGACAAGAGTCAAAAGTCAAGGCGCGAGAATTTCATAGGCTGTCCTTGACCGTTTCCTTTTTATTCCTAGTCAGGCAGAGGGAGACATCACGAGAGCATACATTCTTGTCCAAGAGAAAAACATATCGAGCAGATTAGGACTCCAACTAAATGTTTGGCGGCCTCGTCTCTCATGATAAGCAGAGAGAGCTCGAATTTTTTGTGACATTGCTTGGGGGACGGGAAAATGTAGTTGATACCAGCAACAACTGATGCATGATACGATGCACGGGCTCTGTTTTATCATACAGATCATAAAAGTACGCTGAATCCTCGCCTTTCAGATCCAAGATCGAAAACAATAGATTTCATTTTGGTGTTGAAACATCATCACCCTCTACTCTCCATGTTCACAAGAGAATAACCTGAATCGTTTTTAATCGAGTAGGTTGCACTGAATAAACTGAATGAAAAAAAAATTACCACATCCCTACCTCCTCCATGTTTGAAGCACAGCTGAGGAAATCTGATAACATTTCCTATTCCCAGAAGATATGTTAGCATCGCTACGGAGTAGTCCCCTTTGTTTTTCCAAGGTTTAATATTAATAGGACCATTTTCCTGAGTGGTTCTGCTGCAGGTTGATCCACAGCAGGTTATATTCTCTCAGCGAGAGTTGTGTTGTTTGCTTAGCTGCGACGGCGTTTCATTTGCCTTGGATGGAAAGCGTTGCGAACTCGTGACTTTGGCTGGTATTCCATTACACTTCCAGTGATGATGATTATTATTTTCCATTCATTGGCAGACTCATTCAACCAGTATGATTTACCATAGGCGCGTTACTTGTTGTGACCCTACAAGTTTGACAGACAATTTCGACAGCTAGTCCACTGCTAGGAATGCTTGAAAGGTGCGGGCTCCTCTTTGCTCAGGATACTTTGAGGATGTTGTTTGAATGGCTTGGACTGTTGGATTCCTTGCGTCTTATTTCGTCTTTTGTTACAATCAGAGCGTCATCACCGCGTAATCTCATTGAAAATACTTCTACAGTATCTTCTATCCTTTGGGTTGCAAATCTACTCATCTTTCTGCGGAATATCCATCTTTCAGTCAATCAGCACCAAAGGAAGCAAAAACCATAAGTCATTCGAAAATGCGCGTTTTCCGCCACCGAGAATGTTTGGTTATGTTTACTTAAAGTGTTCATAGGCTTCTTGTCAGATTTCCTTCAGTTCTGATTACCTTTTGTGATCAGCGTTGTTTCCGAATTTACGAAATATAGTTACATCTTTGATTTTGTTAGAGAGAGCGAGGTCGTATTTTCTCTAAATGAGGTCAGCAGGAAAAAATTGAATAATCTCAATTTCAGTGTTCGTCTCTATTTGATACTCATAAGAACTCAGGAAAAGCAACGGGCATAACTTAGATGACACGTAAACCTTCGTACAACTAGAAGACAAATTTCTTACTGTAAAATATTTGACTTGAGCGTGATTTTATAACAGACGCGCAGAAGTTGCAGCAGCTCATACTGCCATAGTTATTTGCAAAGTTCATCGAAAATGTCTCTCACTATGAACTGTTATCTTCGGAACGGCCGACTAAGTCGATAGTAGAGGGTTTAATAAAGGTTTAATTAAGACACTAGATGGTACTTCAATTAAGACACTAGATAGTCAAGGACCCCTCCTTGGACTGTCAGTTATACCATGCCTAGCCTTTTGATACCAAAAGCAGTCATTTGACTGCCAACAGAAAACACGACTACTATTGGTATGTCCTTACCGGTTGTAACTTTAGTCCCGCAGGCAGCAAAGTAGTGAAAAGCTTCTGCTTGATTGACGAAATCAAAACTGTTGTAACGAAAGCAGGAAGCTTTTAAGTGCAATCGGAAAAGCCATCAACACTTTGATTTGATTTTGACAGGTCAGCAAGTGAGTAGCCATCAATCAAATGCCTAACAATAAGCGATCGGAGCGTAAGTTGCTATGACACTTGAATTACGTAAATTATCATTGTGTGAGATGAAACTGCAAAGAAGCGAACAAATTGACGTTGTTTCAATCAGTCACGAAACTACTTAGTTATCCTGTTTCATTTGTGTAAGCAAGGTGGAAATGCGAGCAACTTTAAGGGGCTGACCATTTAACTTATGAGGGGGGGTGGGTGATTTTGAAAAAATTTTTTGCAAGCGTTTGTTGGAAGAAAAAAATTCCATGCAGCCCAAATGTAAGAGAAAAAATGTATCAAAAAGTCGGAAAAAAATATCCTGCACAGCAAATTGCTAGAGAAAAATTTTCTTAATGACCAGAAATCACCCACCCCCCTCAAAAGTTAAATGGTCGGCCCTTAAACAAGGTAAGGTTCAAAGCTGCGCGAGCGGGCTTGCGGCCGGTTTTGATTTAACAAAGTTAGAAACAGTTTTCTATAATACATAATCAGGATAATCACCGATGACAGACGAAGCCTAATCAATAACATTCGGCTTAGCTTTTCAATCGTGTCCAGATAAAAACAGTACTTCATATCTCATTTTGAAAATCATACTCAAATATGATAAACCACACTTTCGTACGAAACCATATAAAATGACATGTAGGATAAATTGAAAGCGTAACAAGTTTTCGTGTAATATGAGAGCAACTGGTTATGTCAAACCTCTTTCTTTGATAATGAATCTGCTCTTTCCTTCTAAAACGTTTTTAATATTTCAAGGACGCTTTATTGGAAATATTAGATTGTTTAGTTTCCGCCAGCTTTCACCAAGAACATTTCTGGTGGAAAATAGCGGGAAAAGTAAACCTTTTTTGTTGCAATAAATCACAACTGAATTTAAAACGATAATGAGCTATTCTTGCAATAAAAAAATGCAATTTCTACATCATTTATTACAACAATTCAGGTTGTGGATCCAGTTTTGTTCTCTGGGAAATAATATAAGGACTGAGCAACACTCAGAAATCATCTTCAGAAGAAGCTTGATCATTTAGGACAATTAAGAGAGAGGGAATCAATTATGCGATCGAATATCTTGAGTATACTCATCTTTTCCATTGTTCTTAAGGGAATAACGGGGTATGCTATAGTCTTTTAAATCGTCCTTTGTTCCATGGCTTTTTGTGGAGCTACGATGATTGCTTTTCTTTTTTGGGCCGAGTAATGACTGTGACAAATTACAAACTGCTCGGGGCACGATCAACTCGCCGGTGCCTCGAGTGTATTATTCCAGTATATGTTTAACAGATCTTTGCGGCTTTCTTTGTAAACACAATCAAACGAAATCCATAATGCTCGATCAACTTTCCTATTTTCAGCACATTTAATGTTCTCCTGATCACTTTTTTAAGGTGCCATGCTAGTGCTAGTGATTATAATACCGTGCGGGTTCGTTTGTAACTGCACTCAAAGTGTAATTGAGAAGCATCACTATACAAGATCCTTAAGCAGCATAGCTTAACATTTTTAAAGCATCCTCGCCGTTCTCGTAATCCTCGTTTTTTATAGCGTTTCCTCGATTGCACTAGCCTAGTGTGAAAGCTTTTTTTGACTTTTGACCCACTCCAATGCCAACTGAATTCAGATTGTTATGTCGACATTAACTTTCTTTCTTGGAAATGAAATGGAAATTGCAGTATTCTATTGCTATCTTGGCAATTGTTTTTGTTAACTTGTTAACAATGGAGATACATTTAAAAGGATTGTTGACGGGTGAAATTTATATTAATTTCAAGTTTTTTTATTCAATCAATTACATATTTCGGTTCTAGAAGCAAAATAAGAATCTACATAGATTACAAACCAACATGACGATGTTGAGCATGGCTTGTGTGTGACATGATTGGAAAGCTCTCTCGCAAAATGCAGATCTACCTACCCTCTTGGATATCAATTTCTCTATCAATCAATCAAAGTTAAGAGTATCTTTATTCGATTGTGGATATTGACTTGAATAACATCCGTGAGGAAATTTTCACTCTTGTATAACCGCATAAAATACAGAGGAAATGTGGCGTGAACAGCAAAATTAAAGGATCAAAGGCCCTCAGGGTGCCTCCTGTCATTAGTGCTTGTGTGTTGAGTCGATAACATTGATAATCGAAATAAAATAAATTGAAAGTAAAAATTGTAACGGAATGCTGTGTGAGTATTGCTTTCTAATCTATTGTTATTGATTGGATTAAAGTTATCGACTTTATTTGGGCAAAATGTCTCCAGTTGTAGTATTGGATACGCGAGGCGTATAAAAGACTGTCAAAATTTAAGGAATTAGTTAAAAAACGATCATTACAACAAGGAAAAAACGACACTTAGGTTAAACTGCTGTGGCTAAGTGTGATCGATTTTCTTTTATCGCTTTCAAACCTTTAAAAAGAAAACTTCTCATTGTTCTTGATTAGTGGAAGTGCGCATCCTAACACTGTGTTCAGCTCAGCAAAAAAATACTTAACCGAGAAACAATATTCGATTTGCGCTCTAGCCTACACTGATTGTCCATAATCAAGTCTATCACAATTTCAAGGGAACCATCCGCCCTCGTTGCGAATGTAAAACTGATAAGCTGCCCGTAGACCAGACTCCAGGGCCCCCTGAATCCATCCCGAAGCAAACGATAGGCCTTCACCAGCAAAGAAGATGTTATCCAAGGGGTGTTGTTGGAGGTAGCGGACGTTTTGGTACTGTGTGGGTTTGAGCAAGACAAAGGCTCCTTGAGCGGTTGGTTGGTTGTACCACGCACAGACAGCTCCCGTTTCAACCTGGCCTTTGATCTCGGGGTGGATTGTGGCTATTTGCTCTACTGCCTCATATAGGGCAGTAATAGGATCCAGGGAACCGAAGAGTAAGGCTTCTGTCTTCCATGTGTAAACCAACAGGATGCCTTTTTCTCCAGGATGCTCTCCAGTGAGGTTGCTTGGATAATGGAGCTGCCCGATTGGAAGATTTGTTTTTGAGAAGCCTCCTTTAATGCCTTCTTCCTCCCAGAATCTGGTCTTAGTCTGTATGAACAGTTTGGTTGATGGACTGGTAAAGATGTCTTCTATGGCCTTGTGGAATTCTTTTGGGGGAGGGTCGGTGTGTTGACAGGGTGTGTAATTGATCTGTCTGAGAATGTTGATTGGAGTTGCCACTATAACAGCATCTCCTTCGATCTCAAAAGGCTGTCTGCTGTTGCTGAAGTAGCCTTTTACCACCACATGATTATTTTCAGTATCACCTTCATAAAATTTGTACTTTATCTCTTTGACCGTACGATTGAAGTGAATGTTTTCGTGAAGGCAAACGTCGGGATTCCAGCCTCCATTGTCTTTTTTGGTGAAGGCTTCTGGTAACAAAGACATCCCGCCTTTGATGCAATGCATTTCTGATGACCACCAATGTCCCAGGGGATCTCGGAGATGTTGCACAAGGCTTATATCAAGGTCCGGTGTATAGTTGAAGACAGAGAAGGCAGTGATAGCTGCATTAGGCCAAGGAAGGTACTTCTTGAGCTCTTCAAGGCTTGTCAAAGGGATGTCGTGTTTTTTCTTGAGTTCTGTCCTCTCGCACACTTTTTCCTGGACTTTTGTCATTACGGCTTCGTAAGTACTTTGGAGGAACCCATCGACTGGAAACTGACTCCAGAGATCAATCCACTGATCCCAGGCAACACATGGGTCAACGCCAGGTGTGTTTAGGTAATTTAGCAGTTGATCTGTTATCACTTGAGTGGTACGATCATGATATGCATCTGCAGTTAGATGAAAATAAAGTTAGAGTCAAAGATGCCATCTAGACAATAATAATAATTTATATTTCGCGCACGCATATATGATCAAATGGGCCCCAGAAAAAGCTAATTCAAAATTCTTTTGATATAGGCCATTTTCAGTCCAGTAGATCAAATTTGTCGCTGTTATGTTAATTCGCCTGTTCTAAAGACATCGGGTGGTGGTTTCCCCCCATATCAAGAAATCTTTCTCTTTTAATCAATTTTAGATGCGGTGCACTTTAGGTGCCGAACAAAGGCAATTAAAACTCGATCGCATTTTTGCTGAGTCGCTCCGATTGTTTCCGGCATAAACATTAACTATCCAGAGTTTTGACCACCTTCTTTCAGCTTTTCCTTGGGCTGTGCAATTTCGTGGGATTCCGATGTGTGCAAAAAAGATGAGCTTTGAGAGTGATGTGTGCAACAGTTAGAGATATCTTAATACCAAGGGGATTTTAGAGGTTTGAAAATTTTTTACCCTCCAGCTGCGGCTGTAGAATATCCTAACTATACATGGTTAAAATGAAGTTTGTAAACTTAGTCAGCTGCAGTGCTGGAAACTTACTGATACTTGTGATGTCGTGCACGCCTTTGTCAATTAGGGTAGCATTCCATCCAGGCCAAAGTTTGTTCGTCCGTTCCAAAGGATCTTCATTCCATTCTGTAAAATACACGAATTTGTAATGACTCTTTTCTTTCTCACTGCCTTTCATGGCCCAGGTGTATAGATGGTTAAATACACGAATTGGGTACTAGGTATCTCATTCCAAAATATAACATTTTTCACCATAAACTTATTAAATGAGTTAGCCTCGCGTTGTAAGGTCAGTCCACTGCTCTTCAGTTCATGAAGCTCAAATTCTAAAAATCAGTATCACTCTTAGCGGGATAGACATGCTAAACTACAGTGCTACCCTGGGCTCGGAAAGGCTACATTTGACTTTGAGGGGAGACATTTGACGCGTTGAAACATTAACGAGTACATTTTATTAATGTATCATAAAGCTCACCTGCTACACGGACAGCGTCTTCGTTATAAAACTTTAGAAAAGCTCTGTCACTGTAGTTGGCAAAATGTGCCAAGGGTAGGCTGAACCGTTCCTTAGAAGCATAAAAATCCGTCAGGAAATGTGTCTTGTTCTCCGCGTCAGGAGGACATGGTAACCTCATGGCACCAGCTGCAATTGAAATTAAGAGAGTTGCAGAAAGGTAACGAAGCCATTAATTACAGATAGTTTACGAGAGGAATAAAACCACGTCAGTCTCCGCCAATCGACTACAGTACTTACCCTCAGCGTGGAGTCCTTTTGCAAAACCGTCTTTTTCCCCAAGGGTGTGAACTCTACCTCCTACTCGCGTCTGGCTTTCTAGTACTACCACCTCGTGTCCAACTTGCGCAAGTTCAAATGCGGCCACTAGCCCAGCCATTCCAGCTCCAACCACAATCACTTTCTTCGGATTTTTCGTCTTTGAATGTCGCTCAGGGTTCTCCTCTTTCTGGCTCCATTTTTGGAAAGCGTAATTTAGGCCCTCTTTAGCGATATCCATCAACAATGGTTTTAAAAGATCGCTTTGTTGAACAGGTTTTTGCTTTCCTGTAATCTTAGACGCTTCAACCTCATTTACCGTGCGGGCTGCATACATAGCCACCGTAGGCAATGGGCTTTCGAGTGCATTATCCATATAGTTCCCCAGATCCCCAGTGATCCAGTTTGGTTCGTTCTTTAGCGAAACCTTACCCAATCGCTTGGCGGCGTTCCGATCGGCTGTCTTTGTCGTCATCATGATTTCTCAGCTGTAGATATCAAAGAGATTATATAAGGTTCTCAATAGGATAAACTGTTGGCCTTAAAACAGGGAAAAAAATTAGCTGTTAGGCGTATATTTTCGAAAAGTTTAGCCGTAAAAAAAAGTATTGATCAAAAACAAATTTTTAGCCACGCAAGTGAAAATTGCAAAATCTTTTGTCAAGATTTTCTTCTACTTTAGTTCACAATTCGTATTATTATACCTTCATCTATTCCATCCCAGAATGGTCCTAGGGTTTCCTAGGGTTTCCTAGGGTTTCCTAGGAGTATGGTCACGGCTAAAATTGAATCATGTATAATCGTCTGTTTTGAGAGCCCTTCGCTTTAATTAGTACATTTGTTTCAGTGACGTTTGTAAGTTCACCGACATGTTATCGTGTTCAGACGAATAACCAGTTTAAATTCTCAGTCTGCATTTTGTACCTAGTCTGCATTTTGTACCAGGTCTGCAGTCTACATTTTATACCCGGTCTGCCGTCTACTGACTGAATGATATACCTCTAAATTTTTAACCTTTGCTCCAGCTGATGCAGACTGCCAAAAGAAACACAAGCTCGAATTATATCCTACCCGTTGTAACTTAGGTCCGGCAGGTCCAACGAGAGCATGATGAATTACTGTGATAGCGAAAAAGCCATAAGCACCTTGATTGTTTGACAGGTCGACGAGAGAGTAGTCATCAATCAAATGCCTCACAATAACCGTTCGGAGTATAAGTTGTAATGACACTTGAATTACGTAAATCATCATTGTGTGAGATGAAACCGTAATCAGTCACGCAACCACTCATTTATCCTGTTTTGTTTGTACAAGCAAGGTGGAAATACAAGCAACTTTAAAACAGAGGAGGCTCAATGCTGCGTGAGCAAGCTTCCAGCCGGGACTACAAAACCAGACAGTCTTAGACATAACATTCAAATTCTGTTGTGTTAGTATAATAGCTTCTGGTCGAATGAAGAATGTAACTGTTACAAGGAAAACAGGATATTTAATTTCCTTGGCGTGGCTTTTGTTAAGTATTTTATTAGACGCAATATTCTTATTATTTTGATTAGATACTTGGCATGACACAAAACTTAATTCACATATTGTGCCGAAGGTGCCCTTAAACTTTTAGATCCGTGAAGTGCGCGTCTATCACGAACGCTTTAGAATAAAGCCTATGGACCAACGTCACACAACTGCAGCACAAAGTCTTTATGAGATGGAATACCAGAGCCCGGGAATAGGAGCTGCATGAGCCAATCAACACGTCACAATGTAAATGAAACACGATTAATTAGAAAGGCACTCCCCCAAAGACAAAATGCAGTCTATAATAAGAACATTGAATTAAACGGGCGGAATATAATTTTTTCTTAGAAATGTCACTGTCAGAAAAATGTCCATTGAGACGCTGATCATAGGCAATGCAATACTCAAATGTAAGGGAGAGGGCATCCGAAAAAGGAAGATTGTAGTCTTCCTATGCGACTCCCGAAAGAAAAGGCTAACTTTGACCAAAAGTCTCTTTTTTCAACGAATACGGTTTACCGCTACTCGATTTGAACCAGTTCAAATTTGTTTACTAAGAATTATCGTAGGTCTTTTTCTTTCAGAAAAATAAAGTTTATCTCCAAAAGTGGCGGTGGGGGAGGGATGAGAGGTTGGAGTTCAAAGCTGCACATCGCTCGGAATTTGGCTTTTACTAAATGATTGCCATCCTCTAATAAGCCCCTTTCCGGATATCAAATAGTTAATATTCGAGGCCAAAATTCATGCGAACATTTCTCGCTAGCTATATTTGCCAAACAACTTTCGTCATACAATTAATGGATTAGCTTCCCAAGGAAGGTCGCTGATCAAGCTCGCGTTGAAACGCGCAGGTTTTGTTTATGACCCTCAGCTTGTCTTCTCTAAAAATCAACCTCTTCCTTACAATTAGACGGGGCGTCTTTGAAATTTTTTTCTGGTTCATCACACCCTTACGCTAAAACTGATAAACATCAAAACTTTTTGACTTTGCAGCGGCTAATATTGACATAGTTATTCGCATAGTACTTCTAAAACGTCTCTCATGAACTGTTATCTTTGGAACGGCCGACTAAGTCGATACCAGAGGGTTTGATCAGCGTTTAATTAAGACACTAGATGGTACTTTTTATCCAAACGACAAGAATCCCTCCTTGGACAGTCAGTTATACCATGCCTAGCCTTTCGATACTAAGAACAGTCATTTGACTGCTAATAGTAACACGACTCCTTATGGTATGCCCCTACCGGTTGTAACTTCAATCTCGCAGGCAACGGCGTAGTCAAAAGCTTCTGCCAGAATGACGAAATCAAACTGTTGTAACGAAAGCACAAAGCTTTAAAGTAAAATTGAAAAAGCTATGAACACTTTGATTTGATTTTGACAGGTCGACAAGTGAGTAGCCATCAATCAAACGCCTCACTAAGGGTTCGGAGCATAAGTTGCTATGACATTTGAATTACGTAAATCATCGTTGTGCGAGATGAAACCGCAAAGAAGCAAATAAACTGACGTTGTTTCAATCATTCACGAAACTACATATTTATCCAGTTTTATTTCTGCACGCGAGGTGTAAATGCGAGCAGCTTTAAACAAGGTGGGGCTTAAAGCTGCGCAAGCCAAATTCGAAGCCAAAATTCCTGTAAAAGTTTCTTGCTAGCTATACTTGCTAAACAATTTTCGCCATGCACTGAATGGAACAGCTCCACAAGGAAGATCAACGATATACTTTGCGTTGAAACACGGAGGCTTTCTTTATGATCCTCAGCTTGTCTTCTGTTAAAAATCAACCTCTTCCTAACAATTAGACGGGGCGTATTTAAAAGTTTTTCATGTTCATCATATCCTTGCGCTAAAACTAATAAACCTCTAAATTTTTAAGCTTTGCTGCAGCTGATGCCGACATAGTTATTTGAAAAATGCTTCGAAAACGTCTGTTATAGCCTGTTATCTTTGGCGGAACCGCGGAAAAGTCGATAGCAGTGCTTCAGAGTTTACTTAAGACGCTAAATGATACTTTTTTAAGCAAGGGTCAGTCGTACCATGCCTTGGCTTTTGATACCAAGAACAGTCATTTGACTGCCAATAGAAACACGACTCCTACTGGTATGTCCTTACCGTTTGTAACGTCAGTCCCGCAGGCAGCAAGTTGGTCAAGGGCTTCTCCTTGAATGACGAAATCTAAACTGGTGTAACGACAGCGGAAAGCTTTAATATGAAATTGAAAAAGCCCTGAGCGCTTCCATTTGATTTTGACATGTCGACAAGTGAGTAAACATCAATCAAATGCCTCACAATAAGCGTTCCGAGCATAAGTTGCTAGCACTCTTAAATTACGTAAATTATCATTGTGCCAGATGAAACCGCAAAGAAGCAAGCAAATTGACGTTGTTTCAATCAATCACGAAACTACTTATTTATCCTGTTTTATTTGTGCAAGCATGGTGGAAATGCAAGCAGCTTTAAACAAGGTCAGGCTCAAAGCTGCGCAAGCAGGCTTGTAGGCGGGACTAGAAAGGCAAACAGCCTTAGAAATAATATTCACATTCTGTTCTGTAACGAGTTTTTGCTTGAACGGAGAATGTAACTGTTAAAGGGAAAACAGGATGCTCACGTTGCTTGGCGTGGCCTTTGTTTTCTATTATTTTGGACGTCGTATTATTGTCATTTTAATTAGATACTTGACATAGTGCAAAGTGTATTTCGCATTTTTGTGCCAAAGGTGCCCTCAAAAATTTTGGAACCGTGAAGTGCGCTTCTATCACGAACGCTCCAGAATAAAGCCTATAAATCACGTCACACAACTACAGCACAAAGTCTTTAAAAAGGTGTTTCAATTCTTAGAAACATTTATTCCAGAAAGTGATTCAGCTGGAATCTCGCAGGAATAGGAGTTGCAGGAACCAATCAACCACGTCACATTGTAAATAAAATACAATTAATCAGAATGGCACTCCCCTAATTAGAAAATGTAGCCTTCAGTAAGAAATTTTAATAAACGGATGGATTATCATTTTTCACAGCACTGTTACTGTCAGATGAAAGTTCATTGAGTGCTTCTAAAACGTCTCTCATGAACTCTTATCTTTGGAACGGCCGACTAAGTCGATACCAGAGGGTTTGATCAGGGTTTAATTAAGACATTAGATGGTACTTTTTATGCAAGCGTCAAGAACCCCTCCTTGGACTGTCAGTTATATCATGCCTAGCCTTTCGATACTAAGAACAGCCATTTGACTCCTAATAGTAACACGACTCCTTTTGGTATGTCCCTGCCGGATGTAACTTCAATCTCGCAGGCAGCGGCGTAGTCAAAAGCTTCTGCTAGAATGACGAAATCAAACTGTTGTAACGAAAGCACAAAGCTTGAAAGTGAAATTGAAAAAGCTATGAACACTTTGATTTGATTTTGACAGGTTGACAAGTGAGTAGCCATCAATCAAACGCCTCACTAAGCGTTCGGAGCATAAGTTGCTATATGAAATACAATTAATCAGAATGGCACTCCCCTAATTGCAAGATGTAGCCTTAAATAAGAAATGTTAATGAACGGGCGGATCATCATTTCTCACAGCACTCTTATTGTCAGATGAACTTTCGTTCAGACGCTGACAATAGGCAATACACTGCTCAAATGTAAGAGAGGGCATCCGAAAAAGGAAGATTGTAGCCTCCCTATGCGACTCCCTAAAGAAAAGGCTAACTTTGACCAAAGGTCCCTTTTTTCAACGAATACGGTTTACCGCTACTCGATTGGAACTAGTTCAAACTTGTTTTTCAAAAATTAGCGTATTTCTCTTTCTTTCAGAAAAATAGAGTTTATCTCCAAAAGTGACGGTGGGGAAGGGATGAGAGGTTGGAGTTCAAAGCTACACATCACTCGTGACTTGGTTTACTTAATGATTACCATTCTGTAATAGGCCCTTTCCAAATATCAAATAGTTAATATTCGAGGCTAAAATTCACTTGAACATTTCATGCCAGCTATATTTCCTAAACAGGTTTCGCCATGCATTGAATGGAACAGCTCCACAAGCAAGATCGCTAATTAGCTTTGCGTTGAATCACGCAGGCTTTGTTTATGATGCTCATCTTCTCTTCTTTTAAAAAATCAACCTCTTCCTAACAATTAGACGAGGCGTCTTTAGGAGTTCTTTCATGTTCATCACATCGTTGCGCTAAAACTGATAAACCTCTAAATTTTTAAGCTTTGCTGCAGCTGATTCCGGCATAGTTATTCGCAAAATGCTTCGAAAACGTCTTTTATGCAATTTTATCTTTGGAACCGCGGAAGCCTTCAGAGTTTGCTTAAGACACTAAGAGGTACTTTTTTAAGCAAGGGTCAACGACCCCTGCTTAGACTTTCAGTTGTACCATGCCTTACCTTCTGATGCCGAGAGGAGTCATCTTCATTGAAAATAGAAACACGACTCCTACAGGTATGTTCTTAGCGTTTGTAACGTCAGTCCAGCAGGCAGCAAGTTAGTCAAGGACTTCTGCTTGAATGACGAAATCTAAAATGGTGTAACGAAAGCAGAAAGCTTTGATATAAAATAAAAAAAGTCCTGAACACTGCGATTTGATTTTGCAAGGTCGACAAGTGAGTAGCCATCAATCAAATGTCTCACAATGCCACAATAAGCGTTCGGAGCATAAATTGCAACGACTCTTGAAATACATAAATTATCATTGTGTGAGATGAAACCTCAAAGAGGCGAGTAAATTGACGTTGTTTCAATCAGTCGCGAAACTAGTTATTTATCCTGTTTTATTTGTGCAAGCAAGGTGTAAATGCGAGCAACTTCAAAGCTCCGCAAGCAGGCTTGTTGTAGTCGGGACTCGCAAAGCTAAACAGCGTAAGGCATAATATTCACATTCTGTTCTGTAACGAGTTTTTGCTTGAATGGAGAACGTAACTGCTACAGGGAAAACAGGAGGCTCACGTTGCTTGGCGTGGCCTTTGTTTTCTATTATATTGGAAGTCATATTACTGTTATTTTAATTAGATACTTGGCGTAGTACAAAACGTAATTCGGATATTGTGTCAAAGGTCCCCTGAAGCTTTTAGCAACGTAAAGTGCGCTTCTATCACGAACGTTCCAGAATAAAGCCTAAAAATCACGTCACACAACTGCAGCACAAAGTCCTAAAAAATGTGTTTAATTTCTTAGAGACATTTATTCCAGAGAGTGATTCAGCTGAAGTACCGCAGGAATAGGAACTGCATGAACCAATCAACCGCGTTACAATGTAAATGAAATACAATTAACCGGAATGGCACTCCCAAAAAATGTAGCCTTCAATAAGAAATTTTAACGAACGGGTGGATTATCATTTTTCACAGCAATGTCACTGTCAGACAAATGTCCATTGAGAAGCTGACCATAGGCAGTGCAATGCTCAAATGTAAGTGAGAGAGCATCCGAAAAAGGAAGATTGTAGTCTCCCCATGCGACTCCCTAAAGAAAAGCCTAACTTTGACCAAGTCTTTTTTTTTAACGAATACAGTCTGCTGCTACTCGATTGGAACCAGTTGGAATTTGTTATCCAAAAATTATCGTATTTCTCTTTCTTTCAGAAAATGAAGTTTATCTCCAATAGCGGTGATGGGGAAAGGGATGAGAGGTTGGAGTCCAAAGCTGCACATCACTCGTGATTTAGTTTACTTAATGATTACCATCCTGTATTTATCCTGTTTTAATTGAGCAAGCAAAGTGGAAACTCGAGCGACATTAAACTACCCGAAACTCAAAGCTGCGTAGGTGGACTTGCAGCCTGGGCCTTCAAACCCAGACAACTCTTGACACATAACAGTTTAAATTCTGTTTTGTAACGAGCTTCTGCTTCAATAAATCAAAGGCTTTGTAAGCCAACTCGTGAATTGGATAAGCCAATGTAATTTATGTGTCGTCAATAGAAATTGATGTTTGATTCCCATACTAGGGTATGAATCGTTTTAAAAAGTGTTGGACTGGTAAATGAACGTTTCGAGGAATATGATGTGAAATCAAGTTAGGGCTCAAAGACAAAAAATATGGCCTGAGTAGGAGTTAGTGTAAGACTGTTCTAGATTTTCATCACTGTTGTAGATTTTACTGCAAAGGTTTGTGGAAAGAAAGTTCAAAAGGGTGCTGTTTTGTTTATCGAAAAATGATTGTTGCAATATTAAGCTCGGTATTTACTTGCCATGTAAGCACAGGGATAAGCGTATAAAAGCTTATGCGCTGGATGGGACGCTCGGACATAAGGGTAAGCAGTTCAGATTATCAGAAGGTTGCGATCCTTTTAGGCTTTTGCTGTCTAGTAGGTCATGTCGTAGATGGCCTCACGGTACTGCCACAATCATAGTAACTTTCCTTGTTACGAAGGAGTGGTTGGATCAAATCCGCAGCGCGAAAGTAAATTTTTCGTTTTGCTTTAACCGCCCGAAACCGCCCGAACCGCGCGATTGGCTCGCGCGAGAACGCTTTCCCCACTGCCTCCCCCGCTATGCAGAATTTTGTCCCCAAACTTCCTTCAAAGTTTGGAGATCAATAAACCAATCAGAATCCGTCATTTGCACATATATTTTGATAGCTTTAAGGGGTACAAGAAGAGCATCATTCTGTGCGTTCATGCTAAATGATCAAATTTGAAAATATGGTGTCCGCGCGGCCGACGTTCAAAATTTTCAAGTCGGATTTTTCGTTCCTTTGCGATCGAGTTAGACCTTGTGGAATTCAGAATATAAAGTAGCAGTGCTGTAGAATACTCTCCTTGGAAAAAAATGGATGTCAAGGTCTTAAAGTCTTTAAGATGAGCTCGGGAGGCTGTCTTTGACGGCCGTTTAATGATTTTCTTAGCAGTAAACGTCTGTAAACATCAGATCGTAGGTGCTCGCGCGAGCACACGCAATTTTCAGCGGTAGCTAAAACAGATCATGAGCAAATGTCGATCTTATAGAATCCAGATTTTTAAATGCGCGAGAACGCGCGTGGAAATTGCTAAACTCACGAAAGCTATTGCATGAAAACAAGTCCGGTGACCCCTTCTTTTTATTGTTCCAATATGATAATAACGTCGAAAGGAATCATCAGAAAAAAAA